CCCCCCCCGCCCCGCCGGGCCGAGAGCCGTTTGCCACGGGCACCGTCCCGTCACGGCCAGGCCTGGGCTCGGCCCGCAGCGGGTGTTCCCTGTGAGGTCTGGGGCTGGCGAGGCCTGGAGAGGCTCCTGCTCGGGCAAGGCTGAGCCAGGCTCTCACGTGCGTTATCTTGTTCGATTTGATCCCCACAGCAACCCTCTGGGGCAGACAGTATTTCCCCCATGTTACAGATGAGGAAGCGGGCGCTCAGAGGGGTTTAATGGCTCGCCCAAGGTAACACGCCACCTCCGTTGCTTCCCCCTCCCCCGTGGCCTCACTGCCTGCCAGCCCGGGTGGTGCCAGGCTACGCCGCCCCCCGGGGCGTGGGGCTGTTTTTGGAGCATGTCCCATTGGCCACGGCCGGATGAGTCTGTCCCTGCCTCCCGCCCTCCGTGGCCTGCGCTTGTCGCTTGGCATCCCATGGGTGCCTGTTCAGTGTTCGTGGACAGACAGCTCCGGCCCCTGCCAGCCTGAGGGTGGTGGCTTGGCTGGGGCAGTGGCTGCGGGGGCTTTCCCGACAGCGGGTCCCTGTGGGCCGGGAGCCATGGCTCCCGCCGACTCCTTCGCCTGCTGGCTGAGGGGGTCTCGGGGATCCCCCGAGCCCTGTCCCCAGACACACTGGATGCCCTGGGCCCTGGGGCCCTGCAGCCACCCAGAGAGAGCTGCATACCCAGACGGCCTGGATAATAAACGTGCTTGCCCTCATTTGACAGATGCCACGTGCCCGGCTCTGTCCCTGGGATGCACCACGGAAGGCTCTGTGGGTCTGCTCACCCTCTCCTTGCTTGAACTAGCCCTCTGTGGCTCCCCACTGCCCTCAGGGTGGAGTCCACTCTCACCGTAACTTGCTCTCACTTGTGGCTCCCGGAGCCCCAGGTCCCCCACCCGCTGTGGCTGCTTCCTGTCTCCCAGTCGGGCTTCTTCCACCGCCCCCCCTGGAATGCTCCTCTGCCTGCCCGTGTCCTGCACAACTCGTGTTTGTCCTCGGAGCCCCAGCTCTGAGCCCTTGCCAGGGCATCTCAGCTGGTCGTTCATGGCGGGGCATCCCCCAGGTGCCCACAGCACCGGACGTCCCTGGTCCCGGCCCAGGTGCTTGTCAGGTGTCGGGTGAATTGCATGCACCGTCCGGGGCTTGAGGTGTGAGGCCCCGCCTGCCCGGGACGGCCAAGCCCTCGGGGCCAGGGAGAGAGGAGTTGCCCTGTTGGCAGGCGAGGGTGGGCTTCCGAGTTGGGCCTGGGGTGGACTCCCAGCTCCACAAAGCCAGCTGTGTGACCTTGGGAGGCCGGCAGTGTGGCCTCGTGAGCCTCGGTGTCCTCCGTGGTGGGGGCCACCGGGAGGACCGTGTGAGGCCGTGCATGTGGCCGCTTAGCCTGGCAGTTGCGTGGCGACACGCGTCTTTGCGGCCAGCTCCTGGCTCCCGGCGCTTACGGGTTCTTTCCCTGTCGCAGAAAAAGGGCGTGAAGCGGAAAGCAGACACGACTACCCCCACGACGTCCGCCATCACCGCCAGCCGGAGCGAGTCGCCCCCGCCATTGTCGGACCCCAAGCAGGCCAAGGTGGTGGCCCGGCGGGAGAGCGGGGGCCGCCCCATCAAGCCCCCCAAGAAGGACTTGGAGGACGGCGAGGTGCCCCAGCACGCGGGCAAGAAGGGCAAGCTGTCGGAGCACCTGCGCTACTGCGACAGCATCCTCCGCGAGATGCTGTCTAAGAAGCACGCGGCCTACGCCTGGCCCTTCTACAAGCCGGTGGACGCCGAGGCCCTGGAGCTGCACGACTACCATGACATCATCAAGCACCCCATGGACCTCAGCACCGTCAAAGTACGTGGCTGGGCGGTGAGCCAAGGGGCCCTGGCACATGGCCTGCCACCTGTCCTGCCGGCGGTGGCTGCGAGTCGGGAGCCGGGTCCGTCCACC